CAAGCATCTCTTTGATACAATGTAGAATTCTCTCTCTATATATATTTTTTGGCTTTGGCTCAACCTTTTAAAATAAAGAATTTACTGATGTACAAAAATTTAAAAGTGTGACAATGACAACATAGTAAATCTGTGATTGAAAGTCCCCTAGAGGAGGTTGATATTGTGTGTAAAGCTGCCACCTGCGATGCCAGCATCCCATATGGGTGTCAGTTTGAGTCTAGGCTGCTCCACCTCTGATCCAGCTCCCTGCTAATGCACCTGGGAAAGCAGAAGAAGATGGTCCAAGTCCTTGGGCACCTGTACCCATATCGGAGATCTGAAGGAATCTTCTGGCTCCTGGTTTAGGCCTGGCCCAGCCCTAGCTGTTGCCATCATCTGGGGAGTGAATCAGCTGATGGAGGATCTCTTTCTCCCCCAATCCTGTAACTCTGCCTTTCAAATAAACATACCTTTTAAAAAGAAAGACAGGCCCCTCAAGTGCACCCTGAGATGCACATGCACCTTCCCAAACACTCTGGCGTGGGAACAGGAACCAATGCAAACCAGTGCTGCCAGAAAGCATCAACACTTACATTCTCTACTCCAGCAATCAGACTATGATGCACTGCAAACATTCAGTAACAGAAAGTACGGCATCTTCCCAGGGGCAGCAAGGCAGACTTCTGACTCACACTGAATCAGCACAAGGAACCCCAGCCAAAAGGAGCCCCGCATACTTCAGTTTAGGGTAGTCACATGAGGATCACCACAGTTCCAGTGTAAGGAACAACCCCTGGGCTCTGCCCACACCTTTCTTCTCTAGCCAATGTTGTCCTTGTTTACAGGGGCCTAGGTCATCAAGTGCATTATAAGCTCCTGTGGTCAAAGACTGAATATGCCCATTTTGCTATTCGTGACTCGATGAACTATAGGAATCGCTCTTCCTTCCATCCTAAAAACAACTTCTCCCATTGGATGGCATCTTCAACCCAATTTGTTAGAAAGAGAGAAGACCTCCTCTGTGAAATGCGGGTTCCATACTGCCACTGCCACTTGTCCATTCACCGCACATCATCCAAAAACCCAGAGATAGCACGGTGGGGACAGCTCATGAGACATGGGCAGGAGAGGAGGCGGACGGAAGATACTGATGAAAAAGCCATTGCCCGGACCCAGTGGAATGCTGACAAGAGAAGGGCAGATACTTGCTTTCCTGGGGTCAACTAGACACGCCCCGAGGCAAGCTGACATATTTCAGATTTATCAAGGCCGAATCATTCTGATGCACTGCAGCGTCACCCACAGAAGAGAGGACATTTCTCTTACTCACCACGAATTCCTGCTGAGCCTGTTCCACCTAATTAAAATGAAACCACTGTCCCTCCAGATGGAATATCTTACAATAACTGTTCAATGGCCCAGGCATCCCGAGAGGGACCACGCACTGGGAAGGAAGATGGAGCGTGACTAACTTGATTGGTTGACATCTGGGCTTCTGCAGCCTTGCACTGTCTTGCTTTCTTCGGCCTGGGTTTCTAGAACAGAAGACTTGAAAGTAGCCTATGAATTGCCGATACCAAGTGGCTAAGTTAAATCTTCAACTTTGTCATCTTTGCTCTTTCCACTTGGAACTCAGATTCCTCCTTACTGCTCCTTTTCCCCCTCAACTCAGCGCTTGCACTTCTGTTTTGCCATTGCATTCACTTACTTGCTCCACACACATTTATCGAGTGCCTTCAACGGTGCAGTCTCCTTTTTACATGGAGATTACTGCGATGAACAAGACAGACCAGAGGTGTGACCCCAGCCACCCCAAAGGATTTGACTCCCATCTCTGCACGGCGTATTACCATTTGTCCTAGTAGTTTTTATCCCGATTTTCAAGGATTCTGTATCTGAATTTCCAGTCCCTCATCACTGCCTCCCGGTCTTGTCCTGCCAGCACCTTCAATCCAACACGCCTTGGATCAGACTTCCTCTTTCTGCACACACCAGTTCTTCCTTCACTTCTCTGTCTTTGTCAATGGCATCATCAGTTCCTACTCATCAGGCACAACCCACCACAGTGCCCCAGCTGCTTCCTCTACTTTAGCTTCAACGCAGTGCCTGGCTCTGTGTATTCTTCCCTCGGACAAATGCTTTCCACCTTCATCATGTCCTTCTCTGCCTCAGTACCGTGTGTGCGAGTCAGAGCCTCTTCTTAAGCAAGGGGCACTGCATTGCTCACAGGGGGTGCTCTCTCCACGCACTTCCTCTTGCAGAGCCGCCTAATCACCGCTGCCTAACTAATCCCTGGGTTATCAGGGTTATGCAGACCGGCTTCTGTCCCTCGAAGCCTCCTCGTTCAAAGCCAGTTTCCGGTTTGGTCTCAAAACCATCCACAATCTGGTCTCCTCTTTCTGAGGATAGAGCCACAGGGTTTTTTCTTTTCCTGTATTTTTTAAAGATTTATTTATCTGGGGGCCGGTGCTGTGGCATATCAAGTAAAGCCGCCAGCACCAGCATCCCATATAGGCACTGGTTTGTGTCCTAGCTGCTCCACTGCCAATCCAGCTCCCTGCCAGTGCACCTGGGAAAGCTGTGGAGGCTGGTACAAGTCCTCAGGCCCCTGCACCCATGTGGGAGACCTGGAAGAAGCTCCTGGCTCTTGACTTCAGATAGTCCCAGTTCTGGTATTTGTGGTCATTTGGGGAGTGAACCAGCGTATAGAAGATCTCTCCATCTCTTGATCTCTCTCTAATTATGCCTTTCAAATAAGTAAATGAATATTTAAATAAATTAATTGATTTATTTAGTTGAAGGACCAAATTATAGAGAGAAGGAGAGAAAGAGATCTTCCATCCACTACTTTACTCCCCAAAATGGCCACAACATCTGGGGTTGGGGCTAGGGCTGGGCCAGGCTGAAGCCAGGAGCCAGGAATTCTTTCTGGGTTTCCCACATGGGTAACAGGGGCAAGTTCTTAGGCCCTCAACCGCTGCTTTCCCAGGTGCATTATAAAGGATTTGGATTGGAAGTGGAGCAGCCAGGATTCAAACTGGCACTCCTATGGGAAGCCAACATTGCAGGCTTAACCAGCTGTACCACAATGTTGCCCTCCTCCCTCTGTCTTTCTACACCACCATCACCTCCTGGGGTTCCCTTTCTCCTGCTTCTGTCCAAACCTGACAATACATCCCTCCATCTCAGAAATGCATGGTATAGCACGCTGTGTAATCTTGGTATAGATTCCTAACATTGCTGTTTTAGCTTTTGTCAGCAAAGCATGGGGGAGGGAGCTTGCCTTGTGTGGAAAGTTGTGAAGATCAAATGGAATAATGCCGGGCTCTCAGCACGTGGTCCACCTCACTAGCACATCGGCATGCCAAGCTGGTGGAATTCCAAGCTACTCTTCTAGTTTCTATGGGGCCAGCTTCCCTGGAAGCACCTCTCAAACACTGTAGCCTGGGGCCTCCAACAAGGCAGAAATCTCCCAGCCCTGTGTTGTCCCGTTCTGTGCTGCGGTTTTCAGTGACATGCAGGTGTCAGTCAGCCACCCGGTAGACATGGACGTGCCTTGTGACAGAGGTGTGAACTCCCACTCGGATTTGCCCTCATCCTCACATTGGCTTTCCAGGCTGTCTGTTCTGAGTCAGGCGCTCCTCCCTTCCGGCTCCACTTCCTGCCAGGGGCTGTTGCCTCAACACACCTCTGGGGGTGGGGGAGGCAGGATGGCAGCTGATACCATCTGTTTGTAAACAGTTTCCACAAGTCACCTCCTGCTGCGAATCATAGACTCTCAAAGGAAGGGCCCCGCCCACGCAGGCCAGCCTGCCCTTCCCAGCCTTCCTGAGGGGTCATTTGGCCTCAACTTGAAACACCCTGGATGAATCAAGGGAGCATCTCTGACCTCACCCGTGAGCAAACACCTTCAGCACCTGGCTGCTGGGTGGATGCCATGGCGGAGCTCACCAGTCATCGGGTCACTGATGGAGCAGAAGCCAAGAGGCCAAGCTGCAATTTTCTAAAAGCCTGGGTGTGTCCCTTCCCCCGGGGGGTGGTGATTTCTAAGGTGGCAGAGCAAACACTGAGCCTGAGAGCAGAGGCCCTGGCGTCTCATCCCCTCACGCCCCATCGGGAGGCCTTCAACGTTTGCTGGCTGGGTGACTCTGGCCAAGGCGCTGAAACTCTCTGAACCCCGGTATCCTCACATTCAAAACCATGGAGTCCCCACTTGACATGATTGGGGGAGCTAAAATAACAGATGTGAACAGCCCGGCAGTGTCACTGGGACAAAAAAAAAAAAATCGTGCTGAATAAACCGCACTTCCAGTTACTACCGTGGCCTCCTCCCTTGTGAACCCAGAGAACATCACACACACACCTCCCTGGGCCCCCTTGCCCAGAGCGCATGCGCGCGATCTACGCCCACAGGGACGGGCTCTGCCCGATTCAGGAGGATCCTGCCAGGGCGGCCATGGCCAACACCTATGAAGACGGAGGGACCCACGCCTCCAAGCACGCCCCACTCGGAAGAGTTCCCGAAACCCCAGTCTTCCTGGTCATGAAGATGAGACCTGGGGAGGCCAGTTAGCAGTCTCCTGGAAGGCACAGCTGGGGGAACTTTGCTCACCCAGTGACCCCCCTGCCGCCCCACAGAAAGCCTCAGCGCTCCCGATTCCAATTCCAAACCCCTGAAGAGCCGCGGACCCGAACCTTTGGGTCGGGTGCATAGGAGGGCAAAGCAAGCAAGGGAGGCAGGAGCTTGGGCCCTGGCCTCAACCAGCGCTTGTCCCCTGTAAAATGTCTGTTAAGAGCCTGCACTTCAGGGAGTCACGACTGAATCGGATGGCACCTGTCAGTAGAGTCCCTAGAATACTTAGAACTGTCCATATGTGATGGCTGCGATCATAATAACTCCAAGAAAGCCAGATTCCTATCCAGGCGGGAATCATTTATCTATTTGGCTTTTCACAAGCATTTCTAGGTAGTGGATAATTGATAAACGTAAGAATGAAGGAATAAATGGGAACGCAGTGTTCTCAGGAGGTAGAAGCTTTATTGCGATGTCTTCAAAGGACAATCAAATCAGTAGGCATTGATTGGGCACCTGCTGGGTGCAAGCCCCTGCAGACCATAGCAGAGTCCAGTGTGTTCCGCCCATGGCTCTCAGGTCCCCGGAGAGAAAAATCACACAGGGGGTCCGGGGAGTTCTGTGGGGCTGAGACCCGGGTGGGTTTCCGGACATCAAAGTGCAATTAGCTTTACTGTGGGAGGCAAACTCCGAGGCCCAGCACCCGGCGTGGGAGCCAGGGGCACCACCGGGAGGAGGCGCGGTGGGGAGCAGCAGGTGGTGGGCGGCTCAGCAGCAGCCGCCGGAGCAGCAGCCGGAGCTCTGGTTACCCGAGCGCTGCGACCTCTGGCTGCCGCCCCCACAGCAGGAGCAGCAGCCGCTGCGCTGCCGGCGACGCCTCCTCGGAAAGCAGCAGCAGCCGGTGGAGCTCGAGCCGCAGCAGCCGTTGTCGCCGCAACAGCCGCCGCCGCTGCCGCAGCAGCCGCCGTCCGAGCCGGAGCCGCAGCAGCCGCCGCCGCAGCACGGAGAGGAGGAGCCGGACGCCGGGGTGGGCGCCGGTGCTGGGCAGGGAGTCGGGCCCTGCGAGGACCCCTTGGAAAAGCCTTTGGCGGAAGCGGCGCTCTGCTGGGACATGGCGGAGCTCGTCACGGCGGACCTGGAAGAAAGCCAGCCTTTGAGACGCGAGCACGCTTTTTTCTTTCCAACCGTGGGCCTCAGGGCTTGCAGACGCGGCTCAGCGAGCCGGCTGGCCGGTGCTGGGGCCCGGGAGTACAGAGCGGAAGCCGGGAATGACAGCCCGGCGCGCAGCAGATGTTTGCATTGAGTTCAGCGTGTCTGCAGGAGCTAACAGTCCTTGCGAAGGATGGGTTACTTTCCATTTTCCTGACTGGGATGAGGACCACCCGGGTGCCCGTTGAGGGGAAATACCGGATACTGCGGCCATTTCTCTCCGTAGGACCCAGGCCAAAGACGTTCTGGCTCTTTTCTTCCCCCGGGGTTTTACCTTGGCCACAGAACGTCAAGTGATATTCTAGTAATTACTAACACTGTATACATACCCAGAAGTGAGGAACTGCCAAACTCCTACCTCCTGGATCTAATGAATCCACCACACTGGAGCACATCCAGTCATCGTCCCTTGCCTATGCCTCCCATCCCCCACAACCATAAGAGAAAGGAGGGTCGTGCAGAGAATGGGAGTGTCCCCCTCCAGGCATTCGAGCGACCTGAGTTCCAGTAAGGGCTCATCTATAGACATGCTGCACAAATCTGCCAACTTCAGCCCCTGTCCCTCGCCCTGTCCCCATGTGCACCGCCAAAGACTGGCACACTTGATGCCCAAGGGGGTTGCCACGGTTCTCCTTGCACAGACACCTGCTGGCTGTGTTTGGCTTCTGCTCCTCCAGCCTTCCCAGCCTTCTCCCTCAGACCTCCTTAGAGACTTACCAGACGCTGGCTCCACTGGAAACCTCTCTCAGTTCTCCAACCGGAACAGGCCACCTGCTTGACAGTGGACTGAGCAGTGTCCATCCAGAGAACCTTTTATAAGTAAAGCAAGCCAGGCTCGTGGGAGGAGCCCGTTTCCCAACAGACCTGCTCAGCTGACAGACACATCCCAGAGACATGCATCACTCAGGTAGCACCGTAGGTGGTGCACGTGGGCATCCAAGTCACTCCGCAGAGGTGCCAGGATTGCTGGGTGTGTTTACTTTCCAAACAGGACACTGTTCATAGCTGGGAGGGCTGTGTGTGTGCGAGGGGAAGGCATGGGGCTCCCATGAGGCAAGTGCTGGGGCCCCTTCTGCCCATCTCCACCACGTGCACAAACACACACACACACACACACACACACGGCTCCACTTGCCCACATATCCATCGCTGTGTAATCATGCACTTGGTGCTTCCTAGTTCCCTTGTTAGCTTGATTTGTATCTCTCTGGCTCTTGGTCCCTCAGGAAGGCCAGGGGTGCTGTGGCAAACCTGCCGGGTTTCATGCAGGTGTTTCCAGATGGAGCCAAGAGAAGACAGTGGCAAGGATGCACCTGTGGGAATCCCAGTGGAGATTTCTCTGTCACTAGAAACAGGAAGATAAATGAAAGAGCCACTAAGACAGAAAAGTTGGGAAATGTGGTCAGTCAGCTTATCATATCCTCATAACACTTCCCCGGGGCCCAGGGGGAAATGTGTGCAGGACACTGGCCCAACTGCCTGGGACAAGTTGTCCTCGAACCAACACTTTCTGCCCCACCCCCACCATCTCCCTTGGAAGATAGGATCTCCCTGGGGCCACCGCACAATAGGAAAGAAAATCTTTCCCGAAGGTCTAAAGCATCCCTGACAAATAGTGCCTTTAGAATGACTAACTTTTTTAAAAAAATATTATTTATTTGAAAAACAAAGTTACAGAGAGGGACAGAGAGAGAGGTCTTCCATGCACTGGTTCACTCCCCAAATGGCCACAACAGCCAGAGCTGGGCTGATCTGAAGCCAGATGCCAAGAGCTTCTTCCAGGTCTCCCACGTGGGTGCAGGGGCTCAAGCACTTGGACCATCTTCCACTGCTTTCCCAGGCCATTAGCAAAGAGCTAGATCAGAAGTGGAGCAGCTGGGACTCAAACCGGTGCCCACATGGGATGCGGGCACCACAGGTAGTGGCTTTACCCACTACGCCACAGCACCAGCCCCAGGATGACTAACTTTAAAGAATTGGCTGTCAACTGGCTTCAGAATGGCTTCTTGGTCATGTAACTGTTCATAACCATGAACATGAGGTGTAAGAACTCAGGCCAAAGAATCCAAGATTTAATGGTGAGAGAGATTTGGGGGTGATCCAGGAACAGTCTGAGGGCACAGAATGAGGAAAGGTAAGTCACAAATGCCACCAGTTTCATGTAATGTGACTTCAGAGCCTGATGGACAGGTTGTCTCTAGCTAGGGAGCCTTTGGCGGGTACAGCAGTGAGACATTCCAAGAAGTGAAGTCAATATTAGAAAAAAGAAGGAAATCTTGAAACAACAAGGTGGAGGCAGGATCTCCTCCAGGAAACAGCAAAGTTCTTTTCTAGAGAGAGAGAGGAGAAGGGGAAACAAGGGGAAGGAAGGATTCCAGAGGAATCCACACAAGGAGACTGGGAAGGAATCCCTATGAGGAGAGCATTCCAGCAAGTACCTGCACCATCTGGGCTTGCTGTGGCCTCGGGCACTAACTTACTTGTCCTGTCACTGTTAACTCTAGGGTCAACTGTGTCCTTTGTCTATAAAAGGCTGATTTATGGGGCCGGCGCTGTGGTGTAGCAGGAAAAGCCGCTGCCTGCAGTGCTGGCATCCCATGTGGGTGCCGGTTCGAGACCCGGCTGCTCCACTTCCCGTCTGGCTCTCTGCTGTGGCCTGGGAAAGCAGTGGAAGATGGCCCAAGTCCTTGGGCCCCTGCACCCACATGGGAGACCCGCAGGATGCTCCTGGCTCCCGGCTTCAGATCAGCACAGCTCTAGCCATTGCAGTCATCTGGGGAATGAACCAGCGGATGGAAGACCTCTCTCTCTCTCTCTGTCTCTCCTTCTCTCTGTGTGTAACTGTGAATTTCAAGGAAAAATAAATAAATCTTTTTTTTTTAAAAAAAAGGCTGATTTGAAGTCATCTTTTCTGTGATAAACCTTCTGAGTACCTCCTCCAGGAAGCAGTCCAGTCTTGAAGGAACATTGCCTGGAGAACCCAGCACAGTGGCCAAAGCCCATGCCGCCCAGTACACCCTTTCCCACAGACAGTCCTTGGAAGAGAGAGTCGCCCCTGGCTCTCTACTCAAACTTCAGCCTGAGATCTCAGGACCCAGGAGAAACGGGTTGATGTTTCACACCTGCCCTCGCCACTCCATCCTGTAGAAACTCAGACGGAAGCCCAGAATTCAGGATCCAAGGGAAATGGGCTCCAACGTTCCATATCAGCCTCCACATCCACTCACCCCCCCGCCACTGGCCCTGGACTGCTCCCACGCCCAGGGCTTAGCTCTCTTCTCCAGCCTGCCCCAGCACGTGAGGTTGCAATAATCAGAATAATCCATGCACGCACAGGAAGGCAGGACGAGCACTTTGGTGATCTAACCCGCTGGATGGGAAATAAACTAGCTTCATGTTGTGACCCACACTTGAAGGAGACCCTCCCACGATGCGATTTTCCTGGACCCCACCGTCCTCCTCTCTTCGCGTGAGCTGTCAGCCGTAACCGTCTTTGACACAACTTTTTCTACAAGCTGAAAGTGCACAGATCTACAGTCTAAAAGGGAAGAGTGTTTCCCAGAGGGTTTTTGTTTTCCTTATTGGCTAAGTATCCAGTTGCACTTAAAAGCAGGGAAAGGCGGGTGGCTTGATGGGGGTGGCAGGGGTGAGGGGTGTGGGGAGGTGCACAGAAGGCAATCAGGAGGCTGTGCCATTGAGAACCAAAGCTTTATTGTTGCAGAGGAAGCAGCTTCACAACTGAGTGTCCACCCCTTGTCCTCCAAAGAAGGGCCAGGCAGGTCTGGACCCCCAGACCTCACCGTGGGTGAACGTGGGCAGACGGGGGGCGGGCACTACGCACATCTTAGAAGCTTCTGCCGTGGGAAAACGGGCGAGGGGAAGCCTTGGACTGGGCAGCTCTTCGGCGCTTTGGCTCTGCCAGCCTCTGCTCTGTGCTGCTCACGGCCCAAGTCAGCAGCAGCCAGGTCCTCCTGACTGCTGGCCACTGCCACAGCTGCTGCTACTGCCACCACCACTGCCGCCACAGCAGCCGCCACTGCCGCCACAGCAGCCGCCAGAGCTCTGGTGTCGGCGTCGAAGGGATCGGCGGGGCCTGTGGTGGCTCAGGCAGCAGCCACCGCCCCCAGAGCTGCAGCAGCCCCCGGAGCTGGAGCCGCAGCAGGAGGACACCGAGGGGCACTTGGGGGGACACTTGGGAGGGGGCTGGCACTGCTTCTGGCTTTGCTGGCAGGACATCTCAGCAGGGACCAAAAAACCTGAAAGACAAAACAGAAGTTTTAAGTTCAGCAAGCACAAGGTAACTTCTTGCATTTGAAATTGAACCACGAATTCATACGAATGTATGCTTCTAATGATCAGACTTTTCAAACTCAGTCTCCTAAGGTCAGTTACAAAGCATCTGTAAATAGTTTCAACCCAGGCACTTCATATCTTAGGGATTCTTTTCAACTTCAGACAGACAGCAATCTCTCCCCGTCTCCCAGAAGAACCTTCCCCTCCGAATCCCCCTCGCTCCAGTCTTTGTTCAAGGCTGCCCCCAGCCTCCCACCAGCGTCTGTTTCCGCCCAACCCAGGAGCACCAGGAGTCCTCGCTCGCCCCGAGAGATGTTCCACCTGGTTCAGGCGCTGGAGCAGATCACCCGGGAAGCAGGTGGACTGAGTTGCAGTCAAAGCTTCCGCCTTTTATACAGAGACTGACCTGGCTTTGGGAGGTGTGGATCATGTGCGGGATGCTGATTGCATCTTTCATAAGGGGCCTGGCTCGATCACTCCCTCCACACCCCAGGGACGCAATTCCTCCCTCGATAAGCATCTAGACTATTACGCGACAGGACGGTCCCCTCTGAACTGCAGGCCTCTAGGATGGCGGTCGAGCTTTTCTAATCGCAGGCAGCACCTGTCAATCTCCCAGGCAGCTCTACTATGCTCTCCATTTCCTGAGCTGGGTCGGTGCTGTTCTACATCTCTGGGATGACAGATGTAGCTAATGGAGGGAAGAATTCTCTAATGGACGTTCAAAATAAGATCCTAGGCCCAAGCCGATGATCTAGTGTAGCTTTTTCTCCTTCTTAGATGATGCTGTAACCTGGACTGAGAATGCTTGATGTCCTAGCCATGTTATTTTAGGCCGGCCTGATGCAGATGATGTGGGTGGTTGGACTTCTCTCCTTAGCTGACCTGGACACACCAAAGGAGTTCCCTGACAGCACTGATCCGGCTCTGATGGTCCCTTTGAAAAGACAGAAGTCTAGGAATGGCTTCTGTTTCCACGTGTGGTCTTAAAAATGGCACCATCAGCCAGCCTCAGGAGGGGTGGCAGGGACCGGGCAGCTGCAGAGGGGACAGACAGCAGGAGAACTTGCAGGAGGTGAGGCATTGGTTCTGGTTATCCCTAAAGGAAGAGCTGGGAAGATGTCTTTGTGTGAATCATCTCAGAAGGATGAAGGTTGGGGGTGGTCGGGAGAAGGAACACAAAGGAACTGAGAACCAGGGAGAGTACAAAACAGATTTCCCCACCGATGCTAGGTCTCCAGGAGAGTCACCAAAATCTATTCAACTAGAAAAGACGGCCAAAATATGCCACATTGACAATAAAAAAATGGGGGCCGGCACTGGGCGCAGTGGGTTAAAGCCCTGGCCTGAAGTGCCGGCATCCCATATGGGCATCAGTTTTAGTCCTGGCTGCTCCTCTTCTGATCCAGCTCTCTGCTATGGCCTGGGAAAGCAGTGGAAGATGGCCCAAGTCCTTGGGCCCCTGCATGCATGTGGGAGACCTGGAAGAAGCTCCTGGCTCCTGGCTTCGGATCAGCGCAGCTCTAGCCGTTGCGGCCATCTGGAGAGTGGGCCAGTGGATGGAAGACCTTTCTCTCTGTCTCTCCCTCTCTCTGTAACTCTGTCTTTCAAATAAATAAAATAAATCTTTAAATATATATATATATATATAAAAGTAGGAAAAAGTAAGACTTGGGAAACCTCAGTTCCACGCCACGTTCAGGGCCTGCAATGGGCGCTCTGTGGCCGGATGACAGCCTGTGGTGGAAGACCCTTTGGGTTGGTTCTCTTCACCTGTGCAGTCTCCTGGTAGTCACTAAAAGGAGCCCAGTAAGAATTCCTGGCCCACTAAAGAAGGAAATGCAAACAGAATTCTCAGAACAGAACCTGGAACTGTTAGTCCAAAATGATAGTTTGAAAAGAGTATAATCATTACGGATACCCTTATTTGCATGAGAACTATGTATTCTGAATTTCAAATGACTGCCCTGCCAACCTTTGAAGCCAAAGCTATCATTGTAATCAGCCTCAGCCCAACGCCTTCTTCCAGCCCGAGATGAAGGGCGCTTACTTATTCCTGGGGGAAGAGATTATAAAGAAAGCATAATCGTTATCAAAACACGTACTCACAAAAAAGAAGAATCTAAGCATTACCTATCACATTTCTCAGGTTCTGGTAATACTTTTCTCCAGTTTCTTTACTTCATATGTTTTTTTAGTTATTTGTGTTTTGTTTTGATTTTTATACCATGTCCTTATACAGCAGTTTCTCTTCCTAACTTGTCACTTAGCACTTTGACATAAGCACTTGTCATGTTTTCTGTTCTTCAGAGGCATTATTCGGTCTCTTTCTCATAGAGGACACAGAACTGGCTTACAAAGGTTTGGGGATGTTAGTTCTGCATTTGCTCTCTGAGTTCAAGGCCCAGCTCCCCACTTACCAAGGCGTGACCTTGGGTCAGTCACACGTCTGCTTCAGCATGCTCTCACCTGCAAAATGGAGAGGGAAACAGTGTTATCTCACAGAATCATCTGCATCCAGAATACTCTTGGAACAGTGCCTAGCGCTTAGCAAGCACTCAGCAAACACTAGGAATGCAATTCGGTGCTGTGCCACCTCTAAATTTCAGTACAGGGGGCAGGTGGGCCTCGAGGAAGGTGGCCGGGTGGGGAGGCAGACAGGCTGCTTTGCCTGCTGGATCTCGGTGCAGCAGGGACCCATCTTGTCCCTTATTGCCAAGAAATATAAGAAAGAACGTAGAACACAGGTTCTGAATTTCTGGAAAAAGAAATTAAGAGAAGTCAAAGAAACTACTCAGTTAACCTAAGGGCATGATGAATTTTAAAAGGGTCAATCTCCATCCCCTTTTACTTATAGTTGTTTGGGGTGGCCACCTATCTGGCTACAGGAGTGAGGTCAAGTTCAGGAAGCCCTACAGGACACAGCCGAGTGCACTGTACGCAGCACATGTGCCGTTTTCACGACCTTGTTCAGTTAAATTTGCTACTCGGTAGGGAGGATGGATGCTGCCACCAAATCTGGACCTAGGATTGCACTGACATTTCATGGAATGACAGAACAGAGGAAGCAGAAAGAACACGGCCATCACTCAGAGCCAGCGGTTTTCAACCCCAGGGAGGCCAGCGCACAGACATTCCCCGAAAGTTCACTGGGTGGTTCTAATGACGGTCGCTGTGCAGGACGACTGACTTAGACCTTGTCCTTTCTTCTGGAGAAGAGGAAACAGACTCAGAGATGGAAAGAGACTTGCCCGGGACCCCACAGGGTGAGGACCCTCACCACAGGTTGAGGCAGAGCTGGAAGAAACCCACCTATCGGCCTCTCTCCACACAACACTCTGCCTCTTGCATGATGACGAATTTCTTACTGCAACTTTTTTTCTAGCAAACTTTATTTATTTTAAAGATTTATTATTTATTTGAAAGGCAGAGTTACAGAGAGGCAGAGGCAGAGAGAGAGAGAGGTCTTCCATCTGCTGGTTCACTCCCCAAATGGCTGTAACAGCCAGAGCTGGGCAGATCTGAAGCCAGGAGCCAGGAGTTTCCTTTGGGTCTTCCATGCAGGTTCAGGGGCCCAAGGAGTTGGGCCATCTTCCACTGCTTTCCCATACCATATCAGAGAGCTGGATCAGAAGTGGAGCAGCTGGGATTTGAACCAGTGCCCATATGAGAAGCCCACACTGCAGGTGGCGGCCTTACCTGCTACACCACAGTGCCAGTCCCTCTAGTAAACTTTATTTTGTGTATAGTTGATCCTCTTTATCCATAGGTTCCACATGCATGGATTCAACCAGTAGTAGATTCAACATATTAAGGGAAAAAATGTGCCTGTAATGAACCTATAAGCACATTTTTTTTCTTGTTATTATTCCCAGACCAACAACCTAGATAGGGTTTAAACTATGCAGGAAGATATACTTAGGTTATATGAAAGTACTACATCGTTTTCCATAAGGGGTTTGAACATTTGCTGATTTTCGGTTTCTGCAGGGAGTCCTGGAACCAATTCCTGACAGATACCAAAGAATGTTACTAATTTGCTTATGAAAACATGGCCACTGGAGTTGCAGTAAAAATAGTAATCCGTGTGGTGATGAATCACGGCCTGAATCGCCTGTCTAGAAAAGGTGGAACTAATCGTTGCCTCTGCTGCCCTCCATAACCAGGAGTCGAGCACCTGGGTCTGCAAGGCGGGGTCTGACATCACCAGGGATGGGCAGCTGGCAGGGCCCCAAGAACCCTCCCAGGGAAGGCACCTCCTAGATGACTCTTCCTTGGCCATGAAGTTCAACCTTGTCTGTGCCTCTGAGTTTATCAATCCTGGGGACGTTGAGTCACTGCAACGAACTCACAAGAGACAGAGACGTCAGCCGACAAAGAGGAACGTGAATACCAAGTGCTGGGCTGACAGGCACAGCCTTTCCTGTGGGAGAACTCCTTGGAGAAGTCAAGACTTCCTCAGCAGGTGCGGGATGAGCGTGCAGGTGCGTGGCGGCCCCAAATTTTAATGAACAAAACTAGACATTCCCGTCAGGTCATATGAACACTGGATTTGAGTGCTCCTGAGACTCTGTCCCTGTCTCCCCCTCCTATGAGTTGCTTTGTGTTACCCGATGGCCTGGGAACCTCTCCATGAGGGGCTTTGCACCATGCCACTCTCATCCGCTACAAGCTGCTCTGGAGTTCAGCACTGGACAGGTCACCTTTTTATTTGTCTTATTTTCACATCCCTGTTGCCCTGGGATGTGCACTGGAAGATGGAATAATGCCCATCTCTTCCCCTACCCAAACCATGTCCACATCCTAATTTCTAGAGCCTACGAATATATCACCTTCCATAGCAAAAGGGATCTTGCACATGCGACTAAGCTAAGGATCTTGAGATGCAGAGATTTTCTGGGATTGTGCAGTTGGGTTCAAAGTGGCCAAGAGGGCCCTCGTAGGAGGAGGGCAAGAGGATGTCAGGGAGAGGAGCAAGGATGACAGTGAGTCATTTTGAAAATGTAGGAAGCAACTGGCATTGTGGCACATGAGTTAAGCCACTACCTGTGATGTGCCAGCATCCCATATCAGAGCACGGGTTCAAGTCGTGGGCTCTGCTTCTAATCCAGCTCCCTGCTAATGTACCTGGGAAGGCAGTGGAGGTCGGCCCAAGTGCTTGGGTCCCTGTCACCTGAAGACAGAGTTCTAGGCTCCTGGCTTCTGCCTGGACCAGACTGAGCCATTGTGGCTATCTGGAGAGTAAACAATGGGTGGGAGGTATTCATTTCCCACCCCCCCCCCCATCACTCTGCCTTTCAAATAAATAAATAAATCTTAAAAAAGGAAAGAAAATGTAGTAAGGGGCCCCAGGCCAAGGAATGCCAACAGCCTCTGGAAGCTAGAAAAGGCCAGGAAATCAGGAAATGAACCTTCCTCGAGGCCAGAGGTGGGGACCACCCGACCCACCTGTGAAGTCATGTGGTCTGGCCCTGCCAAGGCAACAACAGGTAGGGCTCAAAATTCAATAAACCTACAGCAGGCTAATTTTTAAGCTGATATTTTCATACTTTGAATTATCATATGATAAGTTCATACAACACAAATGTTATAAATATCCACATGGCCCACCATTATACTTGATGAAATAAGCCAGTCCCAAAAAGACAGACACCATATGTTCTCCCTAATCGGTGGTGACTAATAGAGTATGAAGAATGTGATGTATAGGAGTGAAATTCACATTTTGAGATTCGATGATTGTGTACAGTCCTTGTCTCTGCTGCTGAGAAACAGCATTTTTTTCTTCTTTCTATTTGCTGGACTCTACATAGTGTAGAGTTAACCTTGTGAGTATAAAGTAAACCGAAAGTGGATCACTGTAAAAATTAAGAGAGGAAGAGGGGAGAAGGGTGGGAACCCGGGTGGGAGGGAGCGTGGGGTGGGAAGTGTCACTATGTTCCTAAATCTGTATATATGGGTTACATGAAGTTTGTTTACCTTAAAGAAAAGCAAAACGTTCCCCATCCCTGCTAGAGCCTCACCTTGACCTTGTACTTGACTGAGACCCTTGACTGAGACACCTTGACTGAGACCCAGGCCACTTCTGACTTGCAAAACTGCAAGTTTTGTGTTACTTGTGGCTTGAGGCCACTAAGTTTGTGGTCATTTGTGGTCACTGCAGCCATAGAAAACTGATAACGCACACCTAGATCTAAAACTAGCTTCCAATTTATGATATGGCTTAAAAGGATCTCAAACTGGATTCGTTTCCATCGGTGTGGGAATGGAAAGCTCACGTCTTTTAAGGGACAGGAGGGCTTCTCAGTGCCTCTGAGGCTGACAGGGCGTCCTGTGGCCGGGAGATGTTCCGTGAAGATTCCTGGGTCAGCCAACCACTGGAGTTGTGGGACCCCTGAACCTGTTTCCTCCTCCATAAAAGGAGGTAAAGACAGTGCCCAGCTCAGAACAGTGGCCACGGCATGAGGACGAGGCCAGCCCAGCCCTCAGCCCAGACCTGGCAAGGAGGCCGTGTTCACTCTCTGTCAACCCTTCCTCTTACTGCGTCATCATCAGCACCGTCAGGGAAAACCCGAAGCTGTCAGGAGCTTTGCCGGGACACTTCCAGGTGAGGCCCAGCACCTTGTCTGAGGTCACGCAAATGATGAGAGAAGTTACCAGGGTTTGAACCCAGCTCTTTGAACCCTGTATCTCTCTAGATTGTTGTTCCTCAAATCACAGTGGCTTTTAGCCCAGTGCCTGTGCATCCGTCAAAGAAGTGTTGCACTGGCCAAGCACCCCCTGGGGATTGGAATATCATGCACATAGTTAGACTGTAGATACTGCAATATGACCTGAAAGTGGCGCCTCCTCCTTGCTGCGGAGAAGGGGGTGCTGAGTGGGAGCCCCCCAGCAGTCCTGGTCTCCAGCTGCAGAGTCTCTGCTCGCCTTCCTGGGGACCTCCACCTGCTAAAGCTGCATGCCAGAGACGTGAGTGAAGGAGAGGCACAGAGACTGACTCACGGCCACCCGGGGCCCCGCGTGTGTGGGAGCACTTCCTGGAAGAGCTTTGCCTGCAGGCCCCAAGCAAGCAGGGCTCAGCCTGGCCACAGGTCTCCGCGCCACGCCGTGGGATGCTCACAGCCAGCTGTGGCGTTATCTCCTCCATGGGGAGCATTTCTGTAGCTGGCATCTGGAGGCGGGGATGCCCGGGGAGCCTCTGGAGTGAGTAACCAGAGAAAGGAGGATTCCTCCTCTTGGAGAGTAAGTGCACACAGAGCGTGGGGACGCAGAAGGAGTAAAATAGCAAGGAGGCTCCTGGAGGCGCGTGCGCTCTGGCGCCTTGTTTTCTCAGCTGCAGAGGATGGCGACCTCTGCACAGGTGCCCTAAAGCAGGCTGCGGGGAGGGGCTGGACTTCCCATCACAGGAAGCCAGAGCTCCACCAAGGAAGCTGGGCAGTCCCTCAGGGATGTTAATGTGCCCTTGTTTG